TATACATACTTACTGGAATTCCAGAATTCCAGCAAGTATATAGCCGCAGAGAATGGGAGTCGTATTTGTTCAAAACTCAACGCGGTACCCTGTCCTGGTTGGAAAAGGGTAATGGGGCATGTATCAATGATGGACAAGCCGCGCTCAGCTTCCATGTAACAAAGGTCATGGGGGTTGTGAAAAAAAAGTGGTGAAAATATGAGATCAATGATGGAAAAGCCGCGCTCAGCTTCCATGTAACAAAGGTCATGGGGGTTGTGTAAAAAAAGTGGTGAAAATATGAGCCCGAAAAGTATATAGCAACAACCATCCAGGAGCTAGCGGCAGCTCGAACTTTGCCCCCTTTAGTCGCGTCAATTTTCTGTTTTTCATCCACCCTCTCGGCCACATGCTGGTATTCAGTGTGGCGTAAAGGTATGGGCGCCTATGAAAATTTCCTCTTTCAAAAGTGCGCACTCGAATTTTTTTATACTAAGAGAGAGGTCCTATATAACAGTTTCACAAGAAACGTTCGAAGTTCCATCCTTAGGCTGCGTTTATACTGTTGCGTCAGCGTACGCCAGCTTATGCCAGCGTACAGCTGCGTTTCGAGCGACTAGTAAAGTATGGATATCGATCTAGGTTATTCAACAAGTACAGACCTGTTGAAGGGTGTCCCTCTGCGACAATTGTTCTGCCCGCGCGTTCTCACGCCTTTACAAAAGGAATAAAATGAGGAGAAAGCGGGCAACTGCCTGCTAATTTCGTATTCCAAGACTAAATTGAAAACCTGGGAATCTTTTTTTATTCGAATTTCAAATGAAGCACCTATTTTTTGAAACCTTTTGTGAGGTGATAATTTTATGCTACCGTTTCACGGTGATGGTTGAGAGTGAAATAGCCCTGCGTAATGAGAGGATGCTGGTTCTGGAGCACATATTTAAGCCGAGCACTGAATCATTGGATTGGGCTTCAATGAAACCTTCGTTTCTCCCTTTCTTTATCTTCATTATCAGCATCTTCATTTTCTCCCTAGCGTTGGTCCTGCGCCATTGCAGGGTTCGCTGTTCTTGTTAGACATCACCAGTTTTTTCACGAGGGAAATCTGACCCGCGGAGCACGTATATCACAAATATTATCGTCTGGAACGAAAACGCTCAGCTGTGGCGTGAGAGGCGCCAAAGCTGTGGACCTATTTTGACAAGGCGCTTTAGTGCAATACCCAGGGTTTCGTACCATACAAAGTTCTAAAGCAGATCGGGGGAGAGGGACACACCGCAAGCCCCTACTGGTCTGCGGTTATGATTCCACTTTTTGCTACGGCCTAAGCTTGGCAGAGGGGGGGAGGGTAACTATCCCAACAGAAAGGTTCAGAGTAGC